GTGGAATTCTCTGCCTGAAGAAGTGGTTTTATCAGAGTCCATACAGATGTTCAAACAGCAACTAGATGCATACTTGCAAAAACAGAATATTCAAGGATATAACTTTTTCAATGTAGGGTAATAGCTTCTTGATTTAAGGATTAATCTGACTGCTATTCTAGGGTCAAAAAGGAATTTGTTTCCTCATTTGTTGCAAAATTGTTAGTGCGTCAAATTGGTTTTTTTTTTTGCCTTCTTTTGTATCAACAGCAAAAAACAAATGTGAGGAAGGCTGAACTTAATGTGTGCAAGTCTCTTTTCAGCTATGTAACCATGTAACTAAATGTTTTCCTTGTTGAGTTTTGTAGGAAATTATTTATGCTATACATGAATTAGAGATGATTTTAAAGTCAGGCTTTTTGTGCTGTACCGGTATGTATCACTTTACTTACACAGGTGCTTGCAATGTGAGATCATCTGTTTACTGAAATGTGACGCCTAAGTTACAACGATATCTGTTTTTAAACATTTTAGTTGTATCTCATTACATTTAGTAGGTAATCTGAATGGCTTTATACAATGTTAAAAACTAGTAATGTAATATACCCAGGGCCACATTAAAATTGCCCCGGGCCTTACGCATGATGCCAGATTGGGGTCCGCATCCTAGAGCTCTGGGTCTGTTGTGTGAATGGAATGCGTGTGGGTGGTTGAGTGCCGTGTGTGTGTAAGTGTACAAGAGGTGTTTGTGCTGTGTTATGTGTATGGTGGCTGAATTATGTGTGTGGAGGAGTCTGAGTGTGCCTGACTCTTGTGTGTGTGGATCCTAAGTCTGTTAGGCAAAGAACATTTAGGTGTATAGGTGGTATGACTGGTAGTAGTACCATCATTGGCCTGCATAACACCAGCATTGCCAAAAATAGATTCACATTTGTGCCAATGATGCATTAGAATGATTGTGGTGGATTTATGCAGTTGGATAAATTATTAAATACGAGTGGAGGAATTGTGAATGGTGTTGAAGAATATGATCCTGAACCCTGGGATGTGAGTGCACAGGAATTATGTCATAGGATACTTTAAATGTGCACACTAATCATCATAACTTGCCCCGTCCAGTTTTGGTTAAGATTAAAATAATCACAGTCTGGCCATTGATGACACAAAAAATGTTTTGTCTGTATGTGAGATTTTTTTGGTGTTAAGGAAGCTCCCTCATACTGGAGTGATGATATCTGTAATGTTTAGGCATTAGTATGGGAGAGGCATTACTCCATCTACTGGTCCAGTCACACTTTGAGCACTCACTCTAAACAGATGCCAAGCAGGCAATGGATTAGCTATATTAATATTATTATTATTTTTTAGAACAAAATTTGATTTAGTGCAAGGAACGTAAAATCTTATTTAAATGTGTGGAAATTGTAGATTATGCTAGCTTTAGTGTACCTATAATCTTAATTTTATTAATGACAGGAGGCGAGTATTTGCTTAAGTCTCTCTTTACTAGAACTCCACAGCAACACAGAAAAACAACCAATCAGAAAAAAGTTAGGTACTATAAAACTCCCCTCCCCATGAATCATTTCCTCTTTCAAGCTGCAACAAAACACAACAAAAGGCAGAAAATATAATGGGGAAGAAACGAAGTCCTAGATATAATGAATACGACAATGTCCACCATCCGAGAAGAACTACCGAACGAGATAGTGTTGATGGACTGTAAACTGAAATGAGAGAAAAAACAGAATCAAACAGGTTGGTTAGCCAATAAAATGTACCCTGAACAAACATGTAGGTACCCAATGTAGCAACCAAAATTACCGTAACCTGCATATATCCCAACCCGACTTATGAAAAACAGAAATAAGAGCAAGTGACAGGTAGCAGAGACAAAAAGCAGAGGTGCATACGTACCTGATGAACTCAAACTATAAAAATAAACAAGGGAGGAATAAGAATGGGCGGGAAATACTCACCTCCTGTCATTAATAAAATTAAGATTATAGGTACACTAAAGCTAGCATAATCTACAATTTTATAACATGACAGGAGGCTTCGTATATGTTGTTTTAACGCTCAGCCAACAAATCCAACGCTGTTTGTTTCACTGGTACCTATTCCGTGAGATATTAGAGCAATCCTAAATGGACATTCCAACTGCGAGAAGTGACAGTAGACGGATCGATGAAGATGCCAGCTGAGGAAGCATCCCAAATATGGAAAAACACCATCCACTGATAGATCCATTGTACGTGGAGTGCGACCTGTTTCCTAGCAGCCGGTCCATGAGCTGCCAAGCTGACCTATTAGCCATTTTCCTGTAGGTGTAAAATGCCGAAGGTCATTTGCGGACTTAGGGCTGCGAGAAGAAACTGCCACCATGTCTCGACTCTTGATGTGGAAGGTGGCCCCTCCTATCGTGCCAGGGTCACCAGGTGATGTGGCCTTGCAGGCAAATCTCCAACCTCAAGGAATGCGCCTAAGTCCACCACCAATTCCATAATAGAACCGAGTAGGGTCTTTTCGTTCCCTCATGACCTACCCGGTGAGTTGTCTCATCCGAGAATAAATTTATTATGCAGGCAAGAGTGTGGTCAAAACTAGCCATATCTTAAGTGGTTCCAGTATTCCAAATGGACTGTGTAATCCACGGCTGCGGTAGAGAAAAGATTCCCAAAGGACGTCCAATCAAGGTCCCAAACTGAACTTGTGTGGTGAAACGGTGGTCGACTATTCTGGGGATTGTGAATCACAGAAATATTCAAAAGGATGGGAACGTAAACCGGGGTTGAGATTTCCATCCAGATATATCATCGTCTAAGAGTGATAAGATGTCCGGATCCAATGGTGATGGGGACCTGTATAACAAAGAAACGCCCCTCTATGCAGTCATCGTTGTCCTGTACAGGTACAAGCCTGTGTGATGAACAAATGGACGGCACCGTAGTGCGTTGAGTGTATGAAAGAGCCGCACTCTCTAATAATGTGACAGAACTCTGTGTCAGCGTCCGGCTGATAACATGAGAGGGCCGCACGTGTTAATAACCAAATATTAGAGTCTACATCCATGTCCGGTTCCCTCTATGAGAATGTGTCAATCAAGACATGTACTCTGTATCCAGCTCAGTAACGGGCTGAGGTTGAGGGAGGACCGCGCCCTCTAATAATGAATCACTGTCTGTGGCAAAACCGGCCTCGCCACTGGGCATTGGAGAAGACTGAATATGGCCCCTGGATTGTATTGCCCTTTAAAGACATTATTTGGGCATATTGTATTTTATTATGCTGCTGCTGGCCCTTTAAGAACCATCTGGGGACATACTGTGGAGTTACTGGGTGGCCACCATTTCATGTATCAGAGGCACATGGTGAGAACAATGGATTAAGCACATGGTGAGAACAATGGATGGCGGCCATTTTAACTCACAGACACTGTTTGGACTTTTCTACACGGTGCCATCTTGCCGGTATTTGGTGCACAAAGACATCTTGCAGTAGCTTTAAACTATACAACAGGGGACACATTATACAGTAATTATTTTTCATATAGCCTGTATATGTTCTGCGGAATCTGCATTAAACTGTATCTTCCAAACTACTGAACGGATTTGCGTGAATTTTGGATATGTGGTTCACCCAGATCCCCGTTTCTGAGGATATACTTTTTATGGGGTTATTGCATGTTTTGGGGTCCCTGTGATATCTTTTATAATACTGTATTTCTCTGCCTGTGATAATTATATTAACCATTGTGTTCAGTAATCATATCACAGGCAGAGGGGAGGATTTTGTGTGGGAGTGTCTGTGTGTAATGTACGGATTGATTGGTTGTATTTCAAAACCCTGTGGGCAGTACTATGTTTGTGGATTGTGAATAAAAGAGGCTGTATGTGCCAGTACAGTCAGTTCTACTTCACCGTCAATTTGGAGTGCCGTCTCTTATTGGGGGAATCTGCTATATCACTACAAGGGATTGCTATGCTCTGCATGCTCCCTTAGCTAATCACTACTAAGCTCTTTTAGGAGCTTGTTCCTGCTTCACTCTCTTGGAGGAGAGGTTCACCCACTGGACCCTGGAGGCTTGTCATAGGTCCAGAGTGGGTAGGAGACGACGGCGAGACCCCAACCAAGCTGCGGCAGTTAGTGGGGTCTGCGATGGTTGTGGTGTCTGCGGAGCACTTGGAGCATCCTTCAATGGAGGTACCCAGTCGGGGTGCCAGGTGATCCGTTACAGTGTCCATTTCAGTCTATGAGAGGGTTTTGCTCTCTACTCGTGAAAATAAAAATATCAGTCTCAGGCCAAGGCGATGGAGGGCCGCACCCTATTGTAATCCAAACTAGAGTCCATTAGAGACTCAGGGTGACCAACTGTGGGGTACACCATTTACTAATATCAGCATTAGACTGAGATCCTGAGGTGGGTCTCTCTCTGACCACTCTCTGAATCTCTCACTTGAGAGATGGAATCAACTGGTAATAAACCAGACAGATGGTAGATGGAATAGTATACAACCCCGGGCCGTGTCCATGCTTAATAGCAGAAAGCAATGATGAGAAAATGCAACCTTCGGAAACCATGATGGAAACTACCAATGGACCGCGCGGGATCCAGGATGACCATCGGCAGCCTAAGGAAAGCTGGAGAGGTTCACCGCGATGCACGAGAGCCCGGGAGGTCGGAGGAAGTCAAGTCAGGCCTCTCTACGACCCGAGCGATAGGACAATTGGAAGGCATGAAAACAAAGAAAACGACAAATCATGTAGATAAAGAGAAATACGTACCTCGGAGAGAAGGTAAGTAGCAGATCGGAAAAGCAAGTCAAGTAAACCCAACTGAACGGGTCAGGAGCTAAAAGGCAGCTAAAGGGTTAGTTGATGAAGGCAAGGAAACCGTGGTCCCCTGTTGATGTTTGAGCACTGGTTCCTGCTTGTGCGAGATTCCCCTTGGAGATGTGCCACCGCTGGGCTGGAGTAAACCGTGGTTGCGTGCCAATCTTCATAAAAGCTTTGCCCCTCAGAGTATTAGCTGTAGGGCCTTCATCCTTCCAATCATATTTAGGTGCCCGTATCCTGGTATCCTCTTGGATAGTATGGCAGCAGTGCTTGCCTGGACACCCACCGATCTCCATGTCAACAGTGGGTACTGACCTTTCCTCAGTGATATTCCCCCAGGCCTGTGGCCAAAAGGGGGTTCGGGCACAGATAGATCAGACCAACGATGGGCACAGGTATAGCAGGGCAGACAGAAGGGCACAGACATAGTAGGCCAATCAAATGGGCGCATAACTAGCAGGCCAATCAATGGGGCACAGACATAGCAGGCCAATCAAAGAGGCACAGACAGAGCAGGCCAATCAAAGAGGCACAGACAGAGCAGGCCAATCCTGGTTGCGTATTATATGAGTAATGGGGACCCCTGAGTTTGGGCAAAGTCCCCTAAATATCTGTAAATCCTCAGGGAGAGACCAAGGATCCCTAGACATCAACCCTTTTAGACAGCTTAATACTGTGTGAATAAACCTTAACCGGGACTGGCAGTCCCTAAATGCAAAGCAGGCAAAATAGTGGTACTCCAGCTGTATTGGGTATAAGCTGAAGTTGTTCCAGTGCTGATAGTGTCCATAAAATCAAGATATACTTAGCGGTACATTCCTTAAACTGTGAATTGGTATGCACATGTACATACAGATCAATGTGAGATTCTTATCTTGTTATAGATCATCATCACACCACCTGAAGGGTAATGCACCAATGGTCTCTTTCAGGAGTAGGGCTAAACAATTGCCAACTCAATGAATCTCCCCATAGAACCTGATAAAATAGAATAGTGTCAGCATAGACTGGTCTCCCATAGCAGTTTGAACCAGAGCAAGGTCTGCTTAACATATGCCACGGATAGTGATGTCGCGAACACGAAATTTTCGGTTCGCAAACGCGAACTTCCGCAAATGTTCGCGAACCGGCGAACCGCCATAGACTTCAATGGGCAGGCGAATTTTAAAACACACAGGGACTCTTTCTGGCCACAATAGTGATGGAAAAGTTGTTTCAAGGGGAATAACACCTGGACTGTGGCATGCCGGAGGGGGATCCATGGCAAAACTCCCATGTAAAATTACACAGTTGATGCAGAGTCTGGTTTTAATCCATAAAGGGCAGAAATCACCTAATATTCCTAAATCACAATGGATAGGGATTGATACCTGACATATGACATATTGACACAGAGCAGAATAGTGACTGTTCCCCCTACATAGGGTCACTGGGCAGGTATGGATTGACACCTGTCCTCAGGGACCATGATACACACTGACACAGAGCAGAATAGAGACTGTTCCTCCTACATAGGGTCACTTGGCAGATATGGATTGACACCTGTCCTCAGGGACCATGATACACACTGACACAGAGCAGAATAGGGACTGTTCCCCCTACATAGGGTCACTTGGCAGATATGGATTGACACCTGTCCACAGAGACCATGATACACACTGACACAGAAGCAGAGACTGTTCTCCTACATAGGGTCACTTGGCAGATATGGATTGACACCTGTCCTCAGAGACCATGATACACACTGACACAGAGCAGAATAGGGACTGTTCCCCTACATAGGGTCACTTGGCAGATATGGATTGACACCTGTCCTCAGAGCCCCTGATACACACTGACACAGAGCAGAATAGGACTGTTCCTCCCTACATAGGGTCACTCTGGCAGATAAGGATTGACACCTGTCCCTCAGGGACCATGATACACACTGACACAGAGCAGAATAGAGACTGTCTCCTACATAGGGTCATCATAGATATGGATTGACACCTGTCCTAAGGATCCCTGATACACACCGGGACAGAGCAGAGTAGAGACTGTTCCTCCCACATAGGGTCACTTGGCAGATATGGATTGACACCTGTCCTCAGAGATCATGATACACACCCGACACAGAGTAGAATAGAGACTGTCTCCTACATAGGTCACTTGAATATATGGATTGACATCTGTCCCATGATCCCTGACACACCCTCGACACAGAGCAGAATAGGGACTGTTCCCCCACATAGTCACTCTGGCAGATATGGATTATCACCTGTCCACAGAGAGACCAAGAGATACACACTGACACAGAGCAGAATAGAGACTGTTCCCCCTACATAGGGTCACTTGGCAGATATGGATTGACACCTGTCCTCAGAGACCATGATACACACTGACACAGAGCAGAATAGAGACTGTTCCCCCTACATATGGTCACTTGAATATATGGATTGACATCTGTCCTAAGGATCCATGATACACACTGACACAGAGCAGAATAGAGACTGTTCCCCCTACATAGGGTCACTTGGCAGATATGGATTGACACCTATCCTCAGGATCCCTGATACACACTGACCCAGAGCAGAATAGAGACTGTTCACCCTACATTGGGTCACTTGGCAGATATGGATTGACACCTGTCCTCAGAGCCCCTGATACACACTGACAGACCAGAATAGAGACTGTTCCCCCTACATAGGGTCACTTGGCAGATATGGATTGACACGTATCCTAATGAACCCTGATACACACTGACACAGAGCAGAATAGGGACTGTTCCCCCTACATAGGGTCACTTGGCAGGTATGGATTGACACCTATCCTCAGGATCCCTGATACACACCGACACAGAGCAGAATAGGGACTGTTCCCCCTACATAGGGTCACTTGGCAGGTATGGATTGACACCTATCCTAAGGATCCCTGATACACACCGACACAGAGCAGAATAGGGACTGTTCCCCCTACATAGGGTCACTTGGCAGATATGGATTGACACCTATCCTAATGATCCCTGATACACACTGACACAGAGCGAAAAGGGACTGTTCCTCCTACATAGGGTCACTTGACAGATATGGATTGACACCTGTCCTGAGAGACCATGATACACACTGACACAGAGCAGAATAGAGACTGTTCCCCCTACATAGGGTCACTTGGCAGATATGGATTGACACCTGTCCTCAGAGCCCCTGATACACACTGACACAGAGCAGAATAGAGACCGTTCCTCCTACATAGGGTCACTTGGCAGATATGGATTGACACCTGTCCTCAGAGACCATGATACACACTGACACAGAGCAGAATAGAGACCGTTCCCCCTACATAGGGTCACTTGGCAGATATGGATTGACACCTGTCCTCAGAGACCATGATACACACTGACACAGAGCAGAATAGAGACTGTTCCCCCTACATAGGGTCACTTGGCAGATATGGATCGACACCTGTCCTAAGGATCCCTGAAACACACTGACACAGAGCAGAATAGAGACTGTTCCTCCTACATAGGGTCACTTGACAGACATGGATTGACACCTGTCCTCAGAGACCATGATACACACTGACACAGAGCAGAATAGAGACTGTTCCCCCTACATAGGGTCACTTTGCAGATATGGATTGACACCTGTCCTCAGAGACCATGATACACCCTGACACAGAGCAGAATAGAGACTGTTCCTCCTACATAGGGTCACTTGGCAGATATGGATTGACACCTGTCCTCAGAGACCATGATACACACTGACACAGAGCAGAATAGAGACTGTTCCCCCCACATAGGGTCACTTGGCAGGTATGGATTGACACCTGTCCTAAGGATCCCTGATACACACTGACACAGAGCAG